GAGAAAATGGACTCCCAGGACCTCTGGTGTTACAGTTAAAGGAAGGACAGGGAGCTCCAATCACCTACCTGCCCATTTAACAGATAAGAAGACTGAGAGAGGGCTGTATAGAAGGAACAATTCCTGCTCAGTCTGTAGGCCTGACTTTTGATGGGCAGCCTCTGGTCATCCCCTATATCTCCTTCTATCCCTTTTCCCCCCTCCTCCCACTGCTGGGGAGGGGTTTCTGGGAAGGATGCTTTTTCTTTGTCTCCTAGTTCTCCAGGCTGTTTCCATCAGGCAGGGCCAAGGTATAGTGGGGTGGGGTGGGGGAGGTGACAACTCCCACAGGGGCTATTTCTGTCAGTGCCAGCCCAACCGGGAAACGGGGGAAGCTATCTAAAGGCGTAGCCAGAGGCGCCGAAGCCTTACTGAAGGCAGGAGTGTGGGCAGCCGCGGTCTAAGTGTCCTTTGCCCTAACATACTTGGTGCCACCAACCCACCACAGTAACAGGATGCACATGTGAGTCTGTACCTTGAGGTCACGGGTCGGTGCAGAGTGGGGCAGAGGTGACTGGACACAAAGAGTGATGACTTTGGCAGGCTGGGTGACCTAAAGGAGGAGGGTTGCTGCTGTGGACTCAAACAAGGAGGAAGCAAGACAGGATCAGGAGCTTGGGGGATGCTTAAGTTCTGACTAACAGATGAACTGATAGTGGTGTCTGTGAAAGGACCAGCAAAGGTGGGCAGGCTAGAGAGGATGCTGGGTCTCTGGTTGCCAGTGGATGTACAATCGTCTCTGTGTTAGGAACAGTGTGATGAGTGAGGAAGGGTAAGAATGAGGGGAGTATGGAGGGGATTTGGAGTCCTTCAGACAGGGCAGGGACCTTGAACACCAGGAGAGGGGCTCAAGTGTTTCCGTAAGAGCAAAGGAACCTCTCAGATGGTTGCCACTGCAGGTACCATAGCTGGAGTCCAGAGAGAAGCTTGGGTTTGAGCTAACCTAGGGCTTAAAATCCAAGAGCCAGTGGCAGATGTGATAGCCAACATCAGCTGCCACCCATTGGTAAGGGGCCAAGGGAGCCCTCCCTCCCGCCATCCCCAAAGAACTTCAAGTCTTCCTTGGTTCTCAGAGACAGAATAGATGGCCTGTAGAAGACTGTCTTTTCTGGTCCAGCCCTGAGGTCTATTCAAGGGTCCCCTCCTGTAGCCCTTGTCTCTTCCAAAAGGGAACAGATGGGTCCTGGGGTGGGGGAGCCTGAGAAGAAGCCACTGCAGTCTCCACCTACCTGTGGCAGAGAGCTCTCTCTAGAGTAGGGTCAGAGAATTACAGGTTTCCCAAAGGAAGGTTAGGGACACAACACCCTTCCACCCATGCTAGTCTTCTGGAAGACCCTGCTTTCCCCACACTGTCCCCACTTGGATTGTCCTTCTTCCATGCTCCACCCATGGAAACCCTTCTCAGCCACCAGGACCATGATTCACTTGGAAAGTCTTTTTGGTGATTTTTAATTAATTTTTTAAAAATTTTGTGTCTGAGTATTTTGCCTACAAGTAAGTGCATCTGTGTTGTGCAAAGCCCAAGGAGGCCAGAAGAGGGCATCAAATCCCCTGGAACTGGAGTTACAAATGGTTGTTAGCTACCATGTGGGTACTAGGATTCGAACCTGGGTCTTCTGCAAGAACAGCCAGTGGTCTTAATTACTGAGCCATCTCTCTAGCCCTTAAATTTTTTAATTTTAGGTGTATGAATATTTTTCCTGGATGTATGTAAGTGCACCATGTGCATGCAAACTTTTAGAGGATGTCAGATCCCCTGAAAATTGAGTTATGATGGTTGTTAGTCATCATGTGGGTGCTGGGAACCCTGAACCCAGGTCCTCTGCAAGACCAGCCAGTGTTCTTAACCACTGAGCCATCTCTCCAGCCCCTGGGTTTTTTTTTTAATATTTATTTATTTCATATGTACATGTATGAGCCTGTGTGAGTATATGTGTACCATGTGTGTGCAGGAACCTGTAGAAGCCAGAAGAGGGCACTGGACCCCCCTGGAACTGGAATTACAGGTGGTTGTGAGCCTCCATGGGAACCAAATGCTGTCCTCTGCAAGAGCAGTAAGCAGTCTTAAGCCCTTAGCCATCTCTCCAAGCCACCCCTTTTTTCCATTTATTTATTTTGTGTTTAAGAGAGGGGGTACCATAGCACACCTATAGAGGTCAGAGGACAACTTTCTGGAATTGATTCTTTCCTTTTACCATGTGGATAGGTCCCAGAGATTGAACCTAGGTCATCATGCTTGGTGGCAGTTACTGTTGCCAGGCTAAGCCATCTTGCTGGCCTGCTTGGGAAGGCCCTCTCCATCCTGTGGCCCCTTCTGGTCTCCTCAGTCTAGCATACCATTGCTGTACAGACATCAGCATCTGTAGGCTTATGTGCTAGGCCCTATTTATTTCCTGTCTAACAGATGGTCAGTTAACTCCTGGCAGCTGAAACTAGGAATGGATGGGGCTGGAGAGATGGCTCAGTGGTAAAGGCACTGTCTATTCTTGCACAGGATCCGGGTTTGATTCCCAGCACCCACATGGCAGCTAACAACTGTCCATAACTCCAGTTCCAGGGGATCCAGTGCCCTCTTCTGGCCTCCTTGGGCATTGCATGACATGGGTGCACTTGCACACATGCAGGCAATACACTCATACACATGAAATTAAAAAAAAATTTTTTTAAAGTAAGAGAATGGATACACAAAAGAATCGTTCTTATGAATGAATGTGATTCTAAATAAATAAGCCTCCTCCTGGCTGTCCTGACTTTGACTTCCCAGCCACACTCTGGGGACTATCATGCATCTTCCACCATCCTACTCACGCATTTCCCCTGTCCACAGAACTCCTAACTCATGAGCTGAAGGTCCAGATGACCCTTCAATAACAAGAGGCAATTTGGGAGGTGAGGTGCAAACCAGAGAATCCAAACACTACTATTTTGCCAGAATTTGGGTAAAACGATTTGTTAATATCAAATTTGAAGTTAGAAAGAACATACTTGGCTCTAATACAACATATTAAAACACCATAACTTTGTTTGGTATGTCCATTTACATTAAGAACAGTTAACACAAAGGCTGGGGAGATGGTTCAGAGGTTAAAAGCACTGGCTGCTCTTGCAGAGGACCCAGGTTCAAATCCCAGTACCCACTATCCATAGCTAACAATTGTCCATAACTCCAGTTTCAGGGGATCCAACAATGTCTTCTGATCTCTGCGGGCATTGCACGACACAGGTGCACTTATATACATACAGGCAATACAGTCATGTGCATAAAATTAAAATAATTAGTTTTAAAAAAGAATTACATAGCTGGGTGTGGTGGCACACGCCTTTAATCCCAGCACTTGGGAGGCAGAGGCAGGCAGAGCTCTGTGAGTTCGAGGCCAGCCTGGTCTACATAGCAAGTTCCAGGCCAGCTGGGGCTACAGGGAGACCCTGTCTCAAAAAGACAAAAAAAAAGAACAGTTAACACAGTCAGGCCTGGTGACAAATGCCTTTAATCTGAGCTACTTGGAAGGTTGAGGCAGGAGGATCATAAAATCAAGGCCTGCCTGGGCTACTGAGTAAGTTTAAGGTCAGCCTAGGCAATTTAGTGAGACCCTGTTTCAAAGACAGGGATCTCAGCAGGTAGAGGCACTTGCTCAATCCTGACAGCTTAAGTTCAGTCCTCAGAACCCACCTAGAGGTGGAAGGAGAGAACTGACTCTACAGAGTCCTCCACAGGATACTGTGGCATCAAATGTGCTCACACACAATAATTTTTTTTTAAAGGGTTGGGGATATAGCTCAGTAGTACAGTGCTTACCTAACATGAGTTTATCCACCAGCACTACTCACCCCAAAATAAACAGGAAGGAAGGAAGGAGGAAGGAAGGAAGGAAGGAAGGAAGGGAGCAAGCTAACTCTTGGCCCTATGCCAGGTGCCGATCCTCACCACAACATTATGGGCCAAATAGCATATTATTCCCTTTTATAGATGGGGAAACTGAGGCATTAATGTTCAGAAATGTGCCCAAAGCTACGCAGTTCATGCATAACAAGACTGGGATTCAAACTCAGGCATCAGAACCAAAGTCCAGTCCAAACTCTACTATTCTTTGAGTGTTTGCTGGACTTCCGTTCTCTCTGGATTTTTCTCTGGATTTTTGCCAAACAGAACACAGAAAAGTAAGGGCTAGACTTGTTGCCACGAGGCTGTTTCACAGGTTCACTGAACTTAAGCTGTAGGTTCCCTCTAGACATCAGTAATGTGGAAATACCATCACTTGGGTGTATTCAGAAGAGCCAGGATTCAGACACCCCGGAGGCCCCACCAGATATTTTGTTGGTAGATCTTCTGTCATGAGTCTGGGCTGATAGGAGATGGGGCAAGATATAGGGAATGACATTTATTGAGCACTTACTGAATGCTAGCTGCATGCATACACTGTTGAGAAAACAGGTCCTGAGAAGGTGTCAAGACCAGAGTCACACAGTGTGGCAGCAGGGGAGCCACCACTGGCATCCAGCTCTGCCTAGTTCTGAAACCCCCTTGTAACCTCTACATCCAAGGTCTGTGGACAACGGGTTCTGGTTCTCACTCTGTTTCTAAGTCACTGGTATTGGCTTTCCTCCCTGCCCAGAACCATGTCTGGGGTCTGGTTTTCATCTCTGTAAGGCTGCCAGCTTGTTTCCTGCACTGGTTTGCCTTTGAGAAAGCAGCTTCACTGTGGCCACGAGGGGGCATGGTGGCACACTTGGCTCTTAATGTCAGTTGTTTTCATTGTTTGCTTTGTTGTTGTTTGAAACGGCGTCTCCCTGTAGCCCCAGCTGGCCTCAAACTCTCTATGTAGACCAGGATGGCCTCAGTCTCAGAGATCCGCCTACCTCTGCCTCCTGAGAGCTGGGATTAAAGATGTGTGCCACCACGCTGGTTTCTTAATGTCAATTCAAAAGAGGTCTTCATGAGTAGTCTCTCTTCTGCTTTACAGATAACAAGGCTGTAACTAAAAGAAGAGCCATGGCTTTGGAAGATGGGATTCAGGCTGAGGACGTCAGAGGTGCCCTCAGTGAACTCTCGGTGCGTGCAGTTCCCATGGGTTAACTAAGAGTCACCAGGGCCCTCTCTGTGTTGAACCCTACCTACCTCAAAGGTACAGAGGAACACCAAACCTGGTACTTCCTCTCAGAAGTCTTCCATATGCACGAGGCAGACAGATACACCCTTATCACAATCGCCACACCTCAGGGAGCTCAGGGAAAAACCTTGTGTAGAATACTTTAATGCTTCTAACCTCATGACATTCCTGAGGGATGGTGGGTACAACATTCCCTCATTCCTCAGATGGCAAAAGTCAGAAGGTAAATCACTAGCCCCAAGATCATACAGGTAGTAAGGAGTGGTGCTGTGATTCAAAACCAAGCCCATCCATGACTCTCACAGAGGAGGCATTTGACCAGGATTGTGAAGGACAGATGCTCACTAGGATGGCTGATAGGAAATGAAGACTAGAGAAAGTCAATTTGATTTCTCTAATGTTTGAGCTTTATTGGATTCCAGGTTTCCTTGAAGTGAAGGTTGTATGGACCTCTATGGGGCTGGAGGGTATAAGAGATGATAAAGTTGGGGCCCTACTTGTTCAGATAGGGAGATCAAAGCACAGAGAGGCACAGGGCCAGTGGGAGGGGAGGGGTCAGTGAGCATGTCACTGAAAGGGTGTGTATTGCTTCCCCAGATTCTTCAAGTATAGGAAGGCAAGTTGGGCAGCCATGGAGAGGGGCAATGACACCATCCAGGCCCTTGCCATGCCACCCACCACCTGTGTCTACCGGGAGGATTTCAAGCGGCTGCTGCTACCCCCTGTGTATTCAGTGGTATTGGTGGCTGGTCTGCCACTGAACATCTGTGTCATCACCCAGATCTGTGCATCCCGCCGGGCCCTGACTCGGTCTGCAGTGTACACCCTGAACCTGGCCCTGGCCGACCTGCTGTATGCTTGCTCCCTACCCCTACTCATCTACAACTATGCCCAAGGGGACCATTGGCCTTTCGGAGACCTCACCTGCCGTCTGGTTCGCTTCCTCTTCTATGCCAACCTACACGGCAGTATCCTGTTCCTCACCTGCATCAGTTTCCAGCGCTATCTGGGCATCTGCCATCCCCTGGCCCCCTGGCACAAGCGTGGGGGCCGCCGGGCTGCCTGGGTGGTGTGTGGAGCTGTGTGGCTGGCTGTGACAGCTCAGTGCTTGCCCACAGCGGTCTTTGCTGCCACCGGCATCCAACGGAACCGCACTGTCTGCTACGATCTGAGCCCACCCATCCTGGCCACTCGCTACCTGCCCTATGGCATGGCCCTCACTGTCATCGGCTTCCTGTTGCCCTTCACAGCCTTGCTGGCATGCTACTGTCGCATGGCCCAGCGCCTATGCCGCCAGGATGGCCCGTCAGGACGGGTGGCCCAGGAGCGGCGCAGCAAGGCGGCCCGCATGGCGGTGGTGGTGGCAGCTGTCTTTGCCATCAGCTTCCTGCCTTTCCACATCACCAAGACAGCCTACTTGGCCGTGCGCTCCACACCGGGTGTCTCCTGCCCGGTGCTGGAGGCCTTTGCTGCTGCCTACAAAGGCACGCGGCCTTTTGCCAGCGCCAACAGCGTCCTGGACCCCATCCTCTTCTACTTCACCCAGCAGAAGTTCCGCAGGCAACCCCATGAGCTCCTACAGAAACTCACAGCCAAGTGGCAGCGGCAGAAGCACTGAAGCCACAGGGCAAGGCCTGGGACAGCCAACAGGCAGTGGTCTGTTTGCCATTGAGGCCAGGGAGCCAGAAAGCCCTCCTTCAACCACAAAGAGATGCAAAAGTCCGCCCAACAGGCCTGGGCCTGGGTCTCCAGAAGTTCCCAGTCAGCCATGAAGTTAGGACAACCGGGTTTTGGAGAAGGAGAGTTCACACCTGTAATCCCAACACTCAGGATGTTGAAGCAGGAGGATGGCTAAATTCCAAGCCAACCTGGTGGTAAAACCCTGTCTCAGAAAAATCTCAGAAAATTCAAGGGCTTGGGACCAGCTGTAGTGGAGCACACATTTAATCCCAGCACTCAGCAGACAGAGGCAGGCAGATCTCTGTGAGACCGAAGCCAGTCTGGTTTACATAGCAAGTTCCAGGTCAGCTGGGGCTACAGAGAGAGAGAGAGAGAGAGAGAGAGAGAGAGAGAGAGAGAGAGAGACAATGGCTCAATAATTGAGGGCACTGGCTGCTCTTGCAGAGAGTCTGGGTTCAGTTTCCAGCATCCACATGGAAGCTAACAACCATCTGTAACTCCAGCTCCAGGGAATCTGACACCCTCTTCTGAGCTCTGTGGGCATTGTACACATTGGTACACTTATATACATTCAGGCAAGACACTCATACACATATAAAAAGTTTCTTTTTAAAAAAGAAAAGAAAAATCAAGGGCTGAGGATTTAGCTCTGTAGTGCATGCCTAGAATGTGCAAGGCCCTGGTTCAGTCCCCCAGCTCTGCAAAAACAAAAGAACAAAGAAAGTCCTCCCCCAAACCCAAGGTGGAGGGGACAGCTAGAGCATGATCATGGACATGAAGCAAGGCTCCTTCTGTGACTGGCAGAGCAAGAAGCTGGAAGCAGCCTGGCTCACCCATCACTACAGTTTGGACTTTGCATGAGAGAGAGAAGTAAATGTATTTTTGTTGGTTTTGCTGTTTTGTTTTGTTTTCTTTTTTTTTAAGCTACTAGTTTTACAGTCTTTTTAAAAAATAACCAAAAGTCAAAATGAATTCTTTCAGTCAGATTCTATCCTTCCCCTAGGCGGAAGCCAGGCTGTAGGCTAGGGCCTGGTGGGAACTAAGATGTTGGAGATACCCAGGAGGCATCATAGAGATACTGTGCCACCTCTGGAGGGTCAGCCCCCATGTGGCTTGAGGCTTAGGGAGCGTGCAGAGTGGCCAGGTAGGGTTCTGGGAAAGTCAATTGTCCAGGAGTGAGGAGGAGGAGTCAGGAAGGTGAAAGGCAGGTGCGGGGGGGGGGCTCTCTGAAGATGGTGGTATGATGGGACAGTACAGAATGGGAACCAGAGGCTTGAGGGAAGAATGGGGATAGTAGGTGAAGAGGAGAAGAGGATGCTAAGGAAAGTCAGGCCCAGTGAAGGAGCTTCTAGAACAAAAAAACTTTTCGTCTTGGCAATTAAGGACAAGGAGTCAAAGGAGTAGAGTCAGGGTTTGGGAAGTCAGAGAGTCATAGAGCCATCTTGTGGAGATTTCCACTCTGAAGAGGAAAAGCCCAGGAACACTGGGCTCTGTCCCAGCAGCACATGCAGCTGGCTCCTTCCTAACCTTGTCCATTTGTTCAACAGACATTCTCTGTATACCTCTGACCCACAACCCACTCCAGGAAGGAATCTGGGGGCCTGGGGATTCAGACACGGAAACGGTTCATTCCAAAAGCAGCATTCATCCATCACGTACTGTAGACCAGGCATCATGCTGGGTGGTGGGTCCACTCTCAGAGGACTCATAGTCTGATGGAAGAGACAGGCAATTATGAAATGACTATACCCGGACTATTAGAGCTGAGACTGAGAGCTCAGAAAAGAGAGCCAGAGGCAAGGAAGGAAGGCCCATTATGAATATGAGCTCATGGAATGGTGGTTGATGGCCTAAAGATACTGAATTACAGAATGGGGATAGCTCAGTCAGAAGGGAAGAAAAAGTTCCTTAGCTGAGAGCCCAGGGTTTCAGAAGACCTGAGCTCAGCAACAGGAGGTTCATAAAATCCTTAGAATACAACAGCTCACTAGAAGAATGGGCAAGAGGCATAAGCAGGCACTGATGATCTGAAAACTCAGATATTTCATCCTGACTTTGACAATGCCTCCTAATATGGACCCTTTATACACTCTGCCCCTGAGCCCCAGAGTTACGCACCAAGTTCAACAGTCATGCCAATGCCTGAATACCCATCCAGATAGTAGATCAATACACTGTTGTGTTATAGACTAGAATATTTCATGCAGCCAGAATGAACTGTATCAACATGCAACACTTTAACAATAGTTGCATATTAAGGAAGAAATTCCTCCAAATTATACATAGGTAGTGTCCATTTTATAAACCTAAAAATGACTAAAGCAGGGTCTCACTATGTAGCCCAGGCTGGTCTAGAGCTCCCTATGTGGACAAGGCTAGTCTTGAACCCATAGATCCACCTGCCTCTGCCTACTGAGTGCTGAGATTAAAGGCATGTGCCACTATGCCTGGCTTCTTTTAAAAATTTTTTAAATTTAATTTAATTTAATATGTGTATTTTGCCTGCATGTATATAAGTGCACCCATATGGTGCAATGTTTATGGAGACCAGAAGAGGGCACTGGATCCCCTGGAACTGGAGTTACGGATGGTTGCTAGCCACCATATGGGTGCTGGAAACTGAACAGAGGTCCTCTGCAAAAGCAGACAGTGCTCTTAACTACTGAGCCATCTCTCCAAACCTTTAATCCCAGGTGGCACATACCTTTAATCCCAGCTCTTGGGAGGCAGAGGCAGGCAGATCTCTGTGAGTTCAAGGCCAGCCTGGTCTACATAGTGAGTTTCAGGACA